ATGTTTTTAAAAACACAGACTGCTGCAAATTACATGTATTTTAAAAATTTACCTTGCTATAATATAAACGCTCAGCTGTGTACTAGACCCTGGGTACTTAAAAAAATCTGTTTGTATAACAGCGGCCGTTATAAAAGTAAAACAACGATTTAATGCAAATATATATATACGTACATACGTACTAGACTAGTGTATATTGTGTATAGTTATTGAACAGAGTCGCAGTTTCATGTAAGTGTATAAAAAAAATTAATTAATTAGAGTCGCAGAACAAAAGCAGCTGCCAAAAATAAAAAGCACTATCGCTATGTATAAGCTAGTTGTAATTTTGTAATTGTTTGATATAACAATTACATAAATCGGGAATCGATCGTTGATCTAAGTTCTTAACTAATTAAGTATTCAAGTATTCGAGTATTCGTCAAAAAAAAATTTTTTTTGTAGATCCTGCTATTCTCAACCATTTCGAAAACAGCAGTAAATCGGAAGAGAAATTATCTGAAATTTTTAAAAAACCTGAAGATCTTGATAATGCAGTATTCATTATAAATCCAAAGCAGTAAAAATATATTTTTTTTATTCGCTTTATGTAACAGCGATATATATTTTTTTATTTGTTTTTTTTATTATATGTTTTTTTTATTCGTCTGTTGTCATTCCGGCAAAAAAAATATTAAATAAAGAAGGGGGTCCGCTGGGCTTCTAATCATCTTTTATTTTTACGCAATCGTGTAAATAAGTATTGGTCACTATTTATACTGTTATTTCGATGTTTAGATACAAAAGCATCCTTTTTTCAAGAGACGAATATCTAACTCATGTTACGCTAAAATAAAAATTTTATTATTTGTGCTTGAATAGGTGTGACATCTGTTGTCACAGTGGCACAATAAGACAACTCTATTTTATTGGTTAAGGTGTAACATCAATGTCATAGTCAATTGTATAAATTATACGGCCCGGGATAAATTTAAAATCGTTGTATATTTGAAAATTAGGAACTGGATTATGTATACATCCTAGGCGTTTACTGGTGAGATAATAGGACTCATTATTGGTGAGCTTTTTCTTTCGTATCTTCCATCACGATAATAATAGCCTCTATCACATCCACCATATTCATCATATCTATCGTACCCATTATATCCGTCATCATCCGATTCATCTAGCCTCTCTTCTTCAGAATCATTGTCGTGGCTACAATCACTATCATCGACTATCTGAA